TACAAAGAATATATGTATATATTCAATATACTTTTATATATATATATATATATATATATATAAAAGTATATTGAATATATATATATATTCTTTGTAAAAAGTTTAAATATTCTACTATATATATATATATATATATATATATACAGGGTGTCTCACACTCTCCTCCGGATATTTTGTGGGAACGTAGAACAGGTTGCGGTGAACATAAAAGTCATATACCGTTTTGCGATATTTGCAATAACTATCGAGATATTAATTGTAGAAAATTTGTGAATGATCATACAGAATATGATAAATGAGTTATAGTAGCAACGATTACCGTCGTATACTTATACTTTAGGTCAAATTGAACAAAAAAATCCTCTACCATTTCGCAAATAATTACATAGATTATTAATTATTAATTAAAGAAAATGAGTGCATTATCACGCAAAATCGTGCAATAATCTTCTTTAATTAATAATTAAAAATCTATGTGATTATTTGGAAAATGATAGAGGACTTTTTTATTCAATTTGACCTAAAGTATAAATACACGACGGCAGTCGTCGCTACTATAACTCATTTACCATATTCTGCATGATTATTCACAAATTTTCTACAATTAATATCTCGATAATTATTGCGAATATCGCAAAACGGTATAGGACTTTTATGTTCACCGCAACTTGTTTTACGTTCCCACAAAATACCCGGAGGAGAGTGTGAGACACCCTATATATATATATATAATATCTGTGTCTGTATGTTCCCTATTAACTCCCAAATCTTCCAAATCCAAATTTTGTATAGTTATTCCTATATCAATAAATGTTATTTGAAACTGCTTTCAAGTGAGATATTCAGATTTAAATTCAGAGTTAAGTAAAAGTTTTTTCAGTCGAATCGCGTTTACAGATATCGCGTATATCAAATAATTGAACTGAAAAGTTTGAATCTAACTCTAAATAAAAATCGTTATCTCACATGAGACAAGTTTCAAGTGACAACTACAATACGAGCAATACAACTATTAATATGATCCTCTTGCGGCTATAAATAAGACTATAACTATAAATAAGATTTTATGGAAAATATAAGCCATTATGAAATCTAGACAACTTACCTCTTCCTCTAATTTCACCCTCTTAACTTGTGATAATTTAAATATTTAGATGTTCTTCAACTCCTAATTTATTAATATGTTAACATACTACTAGATTTCATAATGGCTTATATTTTCCATAAAATCTTATTTATAGTTATAGTCTTATTTATAGCCGCAAGAGGATCATATTAATAGTTGTATTGCTCGTATTGTAGTTGTCACTTGAAACTTGTCTCATGTGAGATAACGATTTTTATTTAGAGTTAGATTCAAACTTTTCAGTTTAATTATTTGATTTACGTGATATCTGTAAACGCGATTCGACTGAAAAAACTTTTACTTAACTCTGAATTTAAATCTGAATATCTCACTTGAAAGCAGTTTCAAATAACATTTATTGATATAGGAATAACTATACAAAATTTGGATTTGGAAGATTTGGGAGTTAATAGGGAACATACATTATTATTAATATGTACACATATTCTATATACTAAAAGTTTATAAATATTCATATTTAAGTAATAAAATGTCGAGAGTTAAGTGCCAGTGTTAATGTCTATGTATTGATATACGGTAGGAAAAAAAATATGATGCTTATAAATAGAAATAATTAGTTGTGAGCAGGATAGTTGCATCGCTTTGGTCATCTTTGATGGTAATGTGTATGATTAATACGACTCGGTTACTTTGATATATCAACTACGTGTAGTCGCACGTGATCTGGTTGTGGAAATCAGAAATCGGTTGGGGTGACAATCACTATAGATACATTCCGATTCAAAGTGACCAGATAATGTCACCGTGACTCAGAAACTGCTTTGTGACTACAGCAAGCAACTTAATTAGCTGTTCTGCATTTTAATATTACTGAATCCGGTTGACACAGACAGATTCGTGTGTAGGCTAACCTGATTGTTTCTTCCGTGCACTTTTATCTTACACGCAAGAGTTTGCGCGTTCGTTTGCCTCCGACGTAAAGTCGGCGTGAATATTTTCGCGGAAACGTCTCCTCCTCATTCGACTATACCGTATCGACTCGGTGACCGAGTTCATACGTTATACCCACACGGAACAACGTGCGGAATCAAAGCCGGTCGTTATCGTTCCCCGCGGAGCGATGGTCTGCGCGGTATGTCGGAGGCGTTTATGGCGCGATTACTGCTCGCGAGAGATATATCGCTGAAATGCGAATTGACGTAACTGGAGTAGCCTTCTTTCCTTTCCTGTTAGCTCTCTCCGAACGAACGTGCAGACGATCGATCGCGGGGACTGCTACTATCCACCTCTCTACTTTACTGATTTTGCCGATTATCTCGATAGCTGTAAGTCGAATTTTTTTAACGAGGCGTGAAATAACATACGCGACTGCAAATTGCGACTGCACACGTTTCAGCTGCGATTTCGAAGTCGTTAGCTGGTCGCTAATAGACTCACGGAGAATGCCGCGAGTCAAAGAAACTCACACGGTGCCTCTGAAATATTTTCTGACTTCGGTCTAATATCAATAAGTCTCATGGCTTCATGAAAGGAGCAGGTAGCTCCTGCCATTTATTAAGAGTTTCTCGAGAAACCTTTAATGGATCGCGAATGAGGACTCCATATACGGAGATAAGAACTTATACGGCATACATTAACCCGCATACACGAGAAGCGCGCGCAAGATCCAAATGCATGCGAGAGTCGAGATTTATTAGTCGCATCGAGAGAATCGTCAGCGTGGGTAACGTCCAGGCTGAGAAAGATCGCTCTATGACGAAGTAGGAAAGTATAATATACGCGAGGGAGAGGCGTACCGAGAGCTCGCCGCCGGCACTTTTCTCTTGGGCTAATCGTTATGGAAAGTCCGCGGATAATATGGGACGTTGTGCACCGCGGGATCTCGTAGGATCGAAGCTGCACGTCGTCGTTGTCGTAGTCGTCGTCGTTGTCGTCGACGTTGCTGAAGCGAGGAAAATTATACGAGTTGGACGATGCGACATAGTACGAGCTTATCGCCTCGACGAATCAAAATACATTCGGATGTCTTTTTCGCGAACAAGTTACCCTCGAGAAGTATCCGTTCCGTGTCATCGCTCCGTTGCACAAATTCGCTTGCGGTTAAGAAGTACACACAGAAAAATGTGTGCTGCGAAATATTACTCGTTTATTTATTTATATATAAGTTAATATTATTAGTAGTTACTAGTATTATTACTAGTTTAGTATTATTTATATATAAGTTTACATACCCGCAAATCTATCGCTAGTTCATCATAAGCATCAAGTTTATTCAAAATGCACTCTGAATTCTAACAAGTTAGCACTGCAGTCAAAAATATTAAATTAAAACGAAAAATTCCATTTGCTTACTTTACATGGAGTCGAACCAACTCTCCCTTCAATAAAACTTTATCGTGTCCTCATAAATTTTTCTTTTATACGGAAAAAAGAATTTGGTTGGATTGACCAAATATTTGGTGAAATATGAGCGAACCAGAATTCCGGTTGGAGTTACCAGCATTCTGTTCAAGTTAAAAAGATTTCTGATTAACCAGACAAGATTTCTGGTTAATCAGAAATATTACTTTATTGACCAGACAAGATTTCTGGTTAATCACAAATATTACTTTATTGACCAGAAATCTTGTTAACTCGAATAAACTCTAATAACTTCAACCTGAATTCTGGTTCGTGCATATTTTATCAGATGTTTGGTTGATCCAACTAAATATCTTTTTTTCCGTATGATGAGCTTTTCTGAAATTGTGTCAAGTATATCTTAAGACTTAAGTTACCAAGAAAATATTCTTTGTTAAAGACAACCATTACTTAGAAGAAAGAAAGTAAACTGAGTAATCGCTTTTCTTAGAGGTAGAATGATATTTGTGTGTGTGTGCTGTGTGTGTGTGTGTGTGTGTGTGCTGTGTGTGTGTGTGTGTGTGTATGTGTGTGTGTAATATCAAGAGAAAGACGTTCTTTCACAGTTCGCGCGCCGTTCGGTCGATATAAGAATGAAGATGTTGCAGGAACAGACCCGCGCGTCGAACGGCAATTTGATCATCCGCGAAGATCGAGAGCTCTCCCTGGTAGTTGGACGGCGCGAATCTTTCGAATCTTTTCGCGCGGCCGCTGAATCCACGCAGATAACCCTTCCGCTCGTCACGGTTCCGATCCGATCGTCATTGAAAGTTTCTCGTATATAATATAGGACGCCGGCAAAATCTCGTAGGATCGGTTCGGCACGTCGGCGACATTGCTGAGGAAAGGAGTGGTACACCCGGAGCGAGAGGATGGAAGAACGGTCGCCGCGAGTGCCAGTGTGAAGGAGATTGGCGAGACCTAACGGGGAGAAAGAGCTGGAACGAGAGAAGGAACGAGGGAAAGGAAGGCACGGGCGAACGAGACGGACGCAGGTGGACGAGAGGGAGAAAGAGAAAGAGTGTGTGTGTGTGTGTGTGTGTGTATTTACGTGTGTGGGGAACGTGTGGGAGCGAGCGAGACGAAAAGAGGGACACGAGACGGTGTTCGTAATCAAAGGGGCAATCCACAGCGCGCGGCGTGGAAGAAAGTCAGCCTACCGAGAGCGGCTCATCAGTCCGGCACGGTGCGGTGTCACGAATGCACGTCGAACCATCGATTTTCCGCGTGTCGTTGCCACGTGATTCTACGCCGTTCGCCGCACGCAAGTTATGCGTTCGTTCACCGGCACCGAGTGCAACTAACCGGCGGACTCCGAAACACCTGGATCGCACCACCGTCGGATACGTGTAGACAGTGAGATCGCGTGCCCATCGTATCGATCGAGGATCCGCATTTCGATAAAGGATCACCCGCGTACAATACGAATCCTTCCCGAGATAATTCTGCGGGAAGGCGCGTACCTGCGGAACCTCGCTGTAGAGGAGTGCGCGCAGAGGATAGTAAAGAAAAATCGTGGATTCAGGATCTGTACGAACGGTGCGGCGACGTGCTGGACCGTGGCGAGGATCGAGGGATTTTGCAGTGCTTGCGAATGGCAGATGAATGGTATGTACCGGATAACGATCATCTCGGAAATTGCGAAGAAACCGCAAAGACGAGAGGTCCTGGCGAATCCTCTGCAATGCTTTTGCTTTCGATCCTTTGTACTTGTCGAATATTTATTTAAGATTTGTAGTAATCTGAGATCAATAGTAACAAACCGATATGTCCTAAAGAAAACGCAAGAGGCATTGCGAAAGCAGATTATAATTAATTTGGAAATGATAGCGAGGCGCGGAAAGGGAGAGAGAGAGAGAGAGAGAGAGAGAGAGAGAGAGAGAGAGACCAGACGAAGACCTAGTTAAATATCAAGCGCGCTCTTTTAATGTCATGTTATGAAATGTCGATTATATGACAGATATATTTGACATTTGTGCGAATAAAAATATTACGAAATGTTATGTTCACACTAGAACGTTATTCAAACTAATAAATACGATACGCGTCATTCGGTATCAAAAGAATGTTCGTTTAATCCATTTAGCAACACTGCATAGATTGTGTGGCTTCAGTAAACGTTATAGAAATATCAAATTGTATGTTGCGAATATTTTTAGCCATTTTACGCGATATTCAGTCAAGATTTTGTTTAAAGCCGACTGCAAGTGATCATAACTATGCAAAAATGATCCAACCCACATAAGGTTTCGTGAAAAATGAAAATGAAAATTTGACACATAATTTAAAAAGTACAAATAGCATTTTGCAGTCGTCCAAGAAATCGTGGTTTATTTACTTCTCTTTAAAAGTATTTGTTGACAAGCTTAACCCTTGAATAAATGAGTAAAAAAGACGCAATTAATAAAAATGGCGTAACTAGTACAAAATAAGTATAGTATAAGTATAAACTGCTTTTTAAATTAATTTTAGGCGGCCTTAATAAAGTTTTGTTTTATTTATAGAAAGATGTATAGACTAGCCATTGATAAAAAAAAACAAAACCTTAAAAATCACAATTTTGTGAATTGGGTTATTCTTGCATAACTAATAGCCAAATTATTCGAAGAAGCTCTAAGTGAAAAAGAAAACTAACAGCGTTTCGATATTTACATCAGAATATTTACATCAGAATAAGTAGAAAGTTCATTTTATGTTTTCATTAATTAAGGATGTACTCCTTGCGAAACCAGTTTTAAGTAAAGCTCTTTTTATTAACGTCCAACTTGCAACCGCGTGTTTCCACCTGTGTGGAAAATCCCTCGTGCACAAATGATTATTCCCAATTCCGTGAAAGTCGTCCTGCGCGTACCTGCCGCTTCGGATAGGAAGCGCTTGTTACAAAAGAAATTGTTATGCACGCGCAGAGTCATCGTGCTGAACGTAATTATCTGGCCGATCGAGGTTTCAACGCCCGACGTAAGTATTTCTTGAATAATCAACAAGAAATACTTTGAAATAGAAATTATTATTTGTCAGTATTATTATGTATGTGTGCGAGAAACACACTGATCAAATATTTATTTAGTCGGAAAGTTCGTGCGAATTTTCCAGAAATATCTACAAAGCAACATCTGAAACATGATAAAATCTTTATTCAGCTATGTAGAGTTGAATGAAGACTTTCTTTCATCACATTCTTTCCGTCTTTCTAGTAACTTCAACATGCATCGAGAAAAAAATACTTGAAAATTTATTTACAACAGAAATAATAAATACAAAAATGAAATAAAAAATAAATAAAAAATAAATATATAAATAAAATATAAAATAAATGAAAATTTGTAGGATACAAGTAGATAGGAAAGTTTACTCACCGAAATAAACTTTGTTTTTCACAGAAATAGACTTTATATCCCACAAATATATATATATATATATATATATATATATATGAATTTTTAAACATCTTTTCTCAATACATCATCCGCCGAAAAGATTGCTCCGGTTTTCCTTTTCAACGCCCGACGTAAGTATTTTTTGAATAATCAACAAGAAATGCTTTGAAATAGAAATTATTATTTGTCAGTATTATTATGTATATGTGCGAGAAACACACTGATCAAATATTTATTTAGTCGGAAAGTTCGTGCGAATTTTCCAGAAATATCTACAAAGCAACATCTGAAACATGATAAAATCTTTATTCAGCTATGTAGAGTTGAATGAAGACTTTCTTTCATCACATTCTTTTCGTCTTTCTAGTAACTTCAACATGCATCGAGAAAAAAATACTTGAAAATTTATTTGCAACAGAAATAATAAATACAAAAATGAAATAAAATATAAATAAAAAATAAATATATAAATAAAATATAAAATAAATGAAAATTTGTAGGATACAAGTAGATAGGAAAGTTTACTCACCGAAATAAACTTTGTTTTTCACAGAAATAGACTTTATATCCCACAAATATATATATATATATATATATATATATAT